GGTGTAATTTTTAATTTATTTAGTATTTAAAATTATAGTTTTTATAAAAAAATTAAATTTTAAAGTTTTTTTGGATTATTAATTCTTTAAAAAAATTTTTTTTCAAAAAAATAGAGTTCAGAAAATGTTGTCTCTCACAAGTCGCTTTTAAGTTTAAATTTATTCCAATTGCAATAAAAAACTTAGCAGTATTTTAGGGACAATGTAGTCTTGCTGTCCTTTTGCCAGTGTACTTCTGCGGTGAGTGTTGAGACCCACTTGAATTCCGATAAGCGAACATATTACGCAGCATGCTGGCGAGGGGAAAACATTGGCAATGGCCAAAGAATTGCTGGGAAATTGCTCATTCGCCGGGTGTACGGGGAAGACAATCCTTCCCGAGAGTCTTCGCCACTGCAGATTTATGCATAGCAGCATTGTAGTAGCTACCAGATTAGAGACATTCCAGCACACCCTGCCAAGCTGCACCCAAAAGTATGCTGTACGAATCCCACGTATTTGCAGTTTCCGTTTTGGTTTTCCGAGCACTGCATTCCACCCACCCATCAGTCGGTCTGAGTGTTTGTCTTTTTCTTCATTTTCCGGCTGCTGCTGCTAACTGCATTTCGCTTGAGTTTAAAGGAAAATCGCAAGTCAAACATGTCGAGTGGCTGTGTGTGTGTGTGTCAGCAAGCAATCTGAACTTTTCAATGGTCGATTGCCAGCTGGTTTTCCTAGATTTTCCACATTTTCCCTGCTTGCCCTCCGACAGCTCAATTAATGGACGGTAGGCAATGAAAATTCTCCAGAAGTTGACAGAAATCGTTTTCGGGCCTTCCGCTTTAACATGCCGGAGATTTCAAGACTGAAGTGAAACTTTTGTTCATTTCCCAGAATCATCTACACATGAATCTTGGCAAGACTGCGTTTTCCCCTCACACCGCACTTCCCATGGTTTTATTTTCCCTCTAGGTCAGCGAGAGTCAACGACACTTGGCAAACGATGGCGCATTCAAAGAAAAGTCGAGATAGAGGACCGGGAAAGGAGGGTTGCACAAAGAACAAAATATTAAAATACGTTAATCAATTTTTTGTTTATTTATACAACGTAAACAACAGAGTACACTATGAGAACTTATATTCTTTAACGTAATGTTTATTTTTATATATCACATTTAAATATTTAAATAAATAATGATGAACATAAAAATATACTATTGCATGACAATCTTAAGCAATAATCTTCTTTATGATAAAATTTTACTGGTTAAGAATTTTAGTTTGAAAAGTTCCTTTTTCTCTCTGTGTTAAATACAGGCTACGTTAGCTTGTTGGCTTATAATAAAAAGTACTTCATTTACTTTGTGCAATTTACAACTGTGAAATAAACAGGGAAACGCCAAGGCCAAGGAGCTCTGAAAAGAGGCTACGCGGAGTGGATACAGAGGAGTGCGTATATAAGCCTGGAAAATGGGAAGTGCGGTCACGCCCCGGTTGCACATGTCACCCCTTTGTATCTTTGTATCTTTGCTGTCGTCGCTTTGTTTTATTACCCGTTCGCTGCCATTCAGAGCAGTACATCTCCTGCCAGTTTGTTTTTCTTTGCCTCTGCCCTATAATTTATTTATGCATGTATTTTATTAAAGATTTCCATGGCGTCGTTCCGTTCTTGTTGTCGTTATCGCCGCTGCCGTCATCCCAGGCCATCCCCAGTCAGTTGTTGACAAAGAAATTACTTATTAATCATATTTGAGCGCTGATTTCTCGACGCCAAAAGGATCACGAGCAGCTGTGATGGGATATATGCGTGCTCCAACAAATGGTGGCAAAATTGTAGCACTGCAAAATAATTTTTTTTTTAATTCCAAATGTATTCATTTAATATTAAAAAAATATATGGTGATAGAAATTTTTATTTTTAAAATTCTATTGTTTAATAATTTAAATTTATTATTTAAAAATTAAATAAAATCTGTTTACAGGCTCCCTTATTTTTGGTACTCTAAAGTTGTTTTAAAAAAATGTTTGAGTCATTTCTAGAGAAATACAATTTTTATAAATTGTGTTTCCTTTTTAACCTAAACTCAGCAATACAGCAAAATGAGACTATTAAAAATATTACCAAAAGGTACCCTTTGCGTTGTAGGGTACTTTGAAAGAAATATTATATTGATTTTAAATTTGATTGCACTACATTGTATTTAACTTAACTTTTTTAACCTCTGCTGCGTGGGCGTGTGGGTGTTTGAGTGGCTTTGAATGTGTTTTATCTCATGTTATCCTTTGGCTTTCGTTGCTGTGGCTTGTCTGTCATCAGCGTGGTTTTCCACATGCAAAACACACAATCGGTTACCGAGGGGGAATACGAAAGAAGTTCCTGCTCTATATTCATCAGCCTGCACCTCTCTTCATCAGCCTGCACCCCAACGCCCCTTCTCACCATCAGAACAACCCTAACAAATTTCACATAATTGCATTTGCTCATCAGGGACTCACATCCATTGGATGTATCTATATACAGTCATTTGTCCCGCATCATGTCGCTGCGTTTGCCAAGCTAAAAAGACATTTTCGAAATATAATTTTAGAACATTTCGTCTTGCGTGAGCTTGGCGCTTTGTTTACACAGCGGTCGCGGGGCAAAATCGGGGGGCGTTCGAAACACTTGTCTTTCATATATCTTGCAGTCCGCGATGCGATACAGGAAGTCCGCACATCGCTGTCAAAACTAAAGCCCCCAAATGCCAGCAATTGAAAGCGTTCGCTAATCAAAATCTAAATCGGAATCAGCACAAAAAATCAGAAATCAGAAATTTGAAATCGAACAGAAGACAGAAGGTGAAATCACTTGAGATAGGCGTCTTCCGACAGATGCCCCTGCCACAAGGCACCCTGTACAGGCCCCATTGGATTTGATGCACAGCCTCCACTCAGCTGTCGAACGCCGGCCAAGCCGGCCAAAAAATAAAAAGGAGCAAAATGTGAAAAAAGCAAAGAAAAGCGCATGAAAAAGGAAAAGACAGCACCAAATGCCGTCCGGCCAAATGGTCATTCGGATCGGCCCAATATATTCCGCTCGATTCAGAGAACTGGGTATCGATGGAAAGACATGATTTACTGGACACAAGGGTGGGATAAAAATGAGTAAATAACAAAGATGAATCAATAAACTCGTAAATAAACACATTAACCTAAAGGCGTCTAATGCAAAATTGATTGCAGGGATATAACTATTTACAAATATGTATTTTGAAAAATTAAGGCTTATATATAATTCGACTATAATTAAACTTAAGGACTTAGCACTTATAACAATGAAAATACCCTTAAAACTATAACTTAATGGTTCAAATAAAACATTGCATACTTTTTGGTGGACTCTAAAATTTTTTAATATCCCTAAAGATTTTATAGATTTTAAATAAGTAAATGTATTGATTAATTTGATTAAGTTTTTTAAAAGTGGTTGACCTTCAATGATTTGTTTAGGCTTAACATTGAACAAGTTACACTAGTCGAATACTTAATATTTTTATGAACACTTTTTTTATGAACAAAAGATTTGTCCCTAAAATGGTGCATGAGCTTTTAATATCGATTGGTTATCTCACATTTATTTTAGGTATTTTCAGGTCTAGAGAGTTTGTTTTTTCATCATCAACATCCGTCTCTCTCTTTCTGGCTATTGTTGAATCCACCCAAAATAGCTCCACGCACATTGACAAGGAGAGTGCGTGGGTCTTTGACGAGGAGTATGGCAAGTATGGGGAGTAGGGATGTGTAGGAGAAAGCAAAAGAGGGGTGTGGCAGTGCCACGGCAGAGTTTCACATTTTGACGGGCCTCAGACGTCCGGCAGTCGCACTAATTGCACTCGCTTGGCTTACGAAAAAATTACAACAGGCGGACAATTAGCAAGCGAACTCATTCGCATTCATATTTCACATACGCTCAAAGAAAGAAAATCAACTACAACAAAAGCAACAGAACAACACAGTGAAAAAATGTATTGAACGAATAGGACTTTAAAAATGTTTAAGTATGCTAAGTTATGTTACAAATCCAGAAATCTTAGGATAACTCCCTAAAGATGGAGTTCTGTTCACATTAGACGCACAATTTCATTTATTAGTTTTTTATATGCAGGTGAAACTAGTTCCAAATTTATGTCCTATTTAGATAAATTTTTTTCTGTGTAAAAACAGAACAGAACAGAACGGAAAGCAACAAAAATTTTGAAACGAGACGAAGATCAACATTCAAAATTGAGCATACGTCAGCAGTGGCAGAAGATCGGAAGAGAAGAGAGTGAAGAGCAAGTGAGAGTGGAGAGAGTGTGGAGAATGTTCTCTCCCAAATAATCAGGTCTCTAACTGTCCTGCTTGCACTTGTGCTTGCCGCACTTGGGGTCTCTGCCCCACTCACTCCTCCGGGACACAGGCCATCCCGTTCTGCTCTCCGGCGTCGGTTCCGGTGGCAGACAGATGAATTCTAACTAGGAGAATTAGAAGAAGCTAAAACAGAGGCAGCAAGTAGAAGACCCGTGATCGTGTAATTCGCCTCGTGTGCGTTCCGTTATTCCGTAATTATTCCGGATTTGTTTGCGAAACAGGCTGAAGGTTTTTGATAGCTATATGCTTTAATTTGTTTCGCTTTCTCCCGCTTTTGTCATTACGGCTCTACGTTGTTTCGTTGTCTCATTGTTCCGTTATTCCGTAGTCTCATTGTTCCGTAATTCCCGTATTCTCGTTCTCCGTTGTTATCGTGTCTTTCATTGCCGCTGGTCGACGTTACGCTTTTACAGTTTTAAAATCAAGCACTTCCCGAGAGGATCGCAGGCTCTAGCCCTGCGTAAAGCCCAAAGGATCTATAAAACCCCTTAGCAATACAGCTATAAAGTCGGAATACAAGTTACTAAACAGCAAGCGCGCCGTGAAATTCAACTTGTTTATATAATAATCTGCGGCTGCCAAGAGAGCCCAACAAAATATACAAAATATATTTAATTTTTCTGGCTTCGGTCGCTTATATTTTTTCAGGCTAAAAGAAAAAAAAAGGAAAAAATACAATAATTTCTGCGTGTTATGTGTTATTGTTGTGATCAGTGATCAGTGGAACGAACCAAGTGAAAGTGAACACAAGAACGAAAGGGAAAGCAAAGTGAATCAATTTGGGTCCTACCAAAGAAATAGAATATAAATCAAAGATAATGTCGGACATTGAGGATGTTTTCGGTGGCTCCGCCGAGGAGACCAAGCCCGAACCCGATGCCCAAAGCAAAAGCAGTGTGGTCACCGAGCAAACCGAGGAGGTAATTCCCGGGGAAACCGAGAAAATGGTCACAGAGACCATCGATGAGGACGGTGATGTTGTGGAGGAAACCACCGAAGTTACCCGCAAAACGGTGAAGCGCACTATGAAGATCACTGAGGTGAGTAATTGGATTTATTTATAAACGGAAAATCTATAGTCCCTTAAATTGAATTTTAGAAATGGTGTGTAGTGAATATTCCCTATAAAATGTATAAGTTTCACCTATTGATAAACAAATTGTTTATTAATCAGAGTTATCTGTGATAATGAGTTTTCGAAAGTGGAATAGCTTATTGATAAAAGTTTTTTTGCTGTTTCAATGACTTTTATCAAAATTAAGTTTGCATTGACGTTTGTTTGTGAACAGTTATTTATTTAAAAAGAAACATATTTTTAAAACTTTTAAAAGAATTCAATTAGCTTTAAAAACACTTGAGAAATCATAATCCAAAGAAGACATTCACAAAGCTTTAGAAAAATAACTCACCAATGTTTTTTTAAGAACATGGAAAGTTTCATAAAAACGTTTTTCTTTCGATTGTTCTTTACGTTTTTCAATGGGATAATACCACAAAACGATAAACTTGAGTATAAAGATAATTATCATAAAAACATAAATTAGATTTCTCAGAAAAAGTAGTTTTTTCCATTAATTTAATTGAGTTTTTTTATATTTGTGAGAAACCTAAAAATAAAACCTTGGTTTCTAACCTTTTTCCTGTTGCCGGAAATATAAATAATGGTTTTTGAAAAGGAAACGCCAAGTATAGAATGATTTCCTCAAAAATGTGCCACCCTTGAAGCGTTTCTCTTATGAAACACAATTAATCATTCTTTACATGTGCCAAAGGGATCTTTGGCCATACTGATCTCTTCGCTTGTGAAATTGGCCAAAAACATGGCGAAGTCCGGCTATATTATTTATACCAAATGCCATTTCTCTATGTGCGTCTTAACAAATTGTTTATACGGTCCCACGAATATTATAAATCTTCCCCTACATTATACATCACACACACTTGGACACAAATATAGTCGGATATATAAGCGATTATATATATATGTACCTCTGGTTCGGCCACACTTTCTATAGGCGACGTCGCCAAAGAAAAGCCAACAAAAAACACAAAAAGAAAAGAGGGGAAAACAAATTTTGCAGCTGTTTGATTTCGGCGCAAATTATCACAAAAGATTTCGCATTGTTAGGCATATAAAAAGCAAGAAAATTAAATTTTTATTAAGCAGAAATCACTTAAATACTCGATGCTGAATGAAACCAAAAAATCCCCAAATCTCTGAGAAGAAATGGCAACAAAATTAAATGCAATAAATTCTGTGCCGCCAACAAATGCAGAAGGCAAAAAAAAAATATTGGAAAAAAACAGAAAAATAAGATGCTTTTACCAAGGAAAAATATGTTTCTTAAAAAAAAGTAATAAACAGCAAAAAATAAATATTGAGGTTTCCGTGTCTTGCGGTCTGGCGCGCACTAAAGAAGAAGGGGTAGTGCAGGGTGGTGCGCGGTGGTGCAGTCTGGTGGTGCAAGTGGCTGCCTGCTGGTGAGGCAGCAATTAATTGCCACAAATCGTTGCACAAAATTACAAATTGCATTTCCGGCTTGGCGCGGCAGCCACGCATGCAGTTTTCCCCGCCACCCATTTTTCCTCTTCCCCCCGGAAGAAATTCGATTTTCCCGCTACTGTTTTACGACTGTCTGGCTCTCACCCCAATACAAAAAAAAACACCACCCGTTTTTCTTTCATCGAGTTTTATGGCAGCCAAATTAAATTTGCATTGCAATTTGCTTTTTTTTTGGGTCGGTCTTTCGGCCTTTTTTTCGTTTTTATGGGCTCCGAATGGAAATGAAAACGCATGAGCTGTGTAAGCCAGAGTCCTGTGGATAAGGATAAGGATATGCCGGGTCCCGGGCATCCATATGTCCGTATATATATAGGATGCGTATGTGCTCCGCCCGGAGCAGCTTGCCGAACTAATTGCGATGGTGAAGTCCGGGTCTGTTGCTGAACTCATGAACACATGAACTACTGAACTTCCCACTCTCAATTTCACCGTCCGACTTTACCCCGCCGGCTTTTCCTGGCTAAAACCCGGCTAATGAGTCACGTAGCGTTTTTGTCATTTTTATGCGCTTAACAGGTCAAAGTTCCAGCCGCAGAGCTACGTGACCAAAGTCGACTTCGAATTGAAAATGCAAAATTAGTTAAATAAAGTCAGGGCTCTGCTGGGGTCTTTCCAGCTTCCCACTCCCATTTTCTTATCCTTAATTCAAGCTAACCGGAAAACTGTCATAAATTTCACAGTTGATTTAACCGTTGTCCGTTTGTTTGCTTATTTGATTTGCTCATTACACGGCGGTTATTTGTGCGGCACAGGGTATGGTATATTATTCAGGATGTTTGTTGTCGGGATGTTTATAAAATGTACTTATCTGTGAAACCTTCGCTTATAAAACTATTTAACTGTTTAAAGACATAGAGTTATAAAACTTTAAAAACTTTAAAATTGAAAATAGATTTTATTCTCGCAAATATAGACTAATAGACATATAAAGTAATACATGTATCAACATGGGAATATAAAACGGATTTGTCTTAGATTAATAATAAAATACCACGAAAATCAAGAATCAGAAAAATTATTGATAATAAATGACAAATAATAAACACAATTTGTCAATATTGAATTAACTGGTTATACCACGAATTTTATGAAATTTGTATTTAGTTAATAAACCTTATAACGAGTAGTTTGTGGTAGGCTACTTTGCCCATTTCAATTCTCCGGACTTCGCAATGTATTTAAGCAAATCTTTGCTCAGCTCCGCCGACCTACTCAAATGGGGCATGCTAATTTGTGCAACAAGCTGTGAACTCACATAACCAAGCAGCACATACCTATTAGTCCGCATACGGACATTGAGGGACAATCAGGGATAATGGAATTTCCTGTGGTCTCAGAGGCTCGTTGTCCTGCTGTCTCGTGCAGGATTCTCTTGATTAGACATCATAATATTGAACAGAGATTAATTGGAAATCCACGAGGGGCCAGCTCAGCTCTAAAGGGATTTAGATGCGGATGTTGGGGATATTTTATGGGAAAACCATTCAGACTTTTCCGAGCGATTAGCCGGGCCACGAATCAGTATCGTAGACCACATCGATTTCCCCGATGATTTTATTGTGCTCGCTGGCATATTAAATTGTTTTGAATTTTGCAAGCGCATGCCGCAAACTGCGGAAAGCCGCAGCGCTAATCAGAGCAGGGACAGCTGTCTCTGCACAAACCCCCTGCTGCACCACTAAGCCACCCACCCACAGAAGCATCCCCTGCACCACCCAACCACCCACCCACTACCCGAATAAGCTCCCTTTGCCCTTCACCCCCTTTTCATTGACAGCTGTCAACGCGGTGGCGCCTCTTGAAGTCCAAACAAATATTTCACTGGTAGCCATTGAAACATGCTTTGCAAGTGTTGTATATGAGTATACTGGAAGAAAAAAAATGGTTATATACCTTTCAATTTTATATTTAATTTATATAAATCCTCCAACTTTAAAATAGCCTTGGATATTGTAAATGTTTTGTATTTTATTTTGCTTTTATCCCATTTGTATTCGACGTTTTATGGTAAATATGCTAGGCATATATATCTTAGATTATATTGAGACAAAAATATAAAGTTAATTTAATGAAATGAAAAAGTATTAATTACAAAATGTACTATTAAAAAATAACAATAACTTCATTTATAATCGCCTGAAAATTTTTTGGCTGAGTATAAAAATGGTTTCTTATAAATTTAAAAGTTCTGGAAAAATTAAAAACAAATATTTTTTGCGGTGTACAGTTGCATGTCCTAAATTTGTGTTGGTTTTTTTGAAAGGCATGACAAAACAGAAGACAGACAGTTCAATGTCAGGCGTCGCTTGGCCTTTGACGCTCGCTTAGCTTCCATTCACTTGTTGCAGTTCCCAAGGAGATTTCACCCTTCACCACCCCATAATAACCAAAGAAATAGCCCACATCTATTCCAAATTTCGAGTACATTTGGTCAGTTATTTATGCGCTTCGTTTTCATTTCATTTCGCTTGCGTTTCATTTCGTTTCGCCTTGTTCGTGGCTCTGTGTTTTATTTATTTGTGCCTTTGGCTGTTCAAACAATTTATAATTTTAATGCACACACTGGCCCCAGCCACTGAATACAATCGAAATATGTTTATATAATTGAAAAGCAAACGTTTTGCGTGAAAACATAAGGCGAATATGTGTGGGCTATATGGTATAGCATTCATGCTGGGGTATATAAATAAAGCTGCCAAATTGTGTACACTGGGCGTATGATGAACGTGCCATTTATTTCGCTGAGCGATTTGCCATCCCTCGCTCTCCCTTTCTCTCTACCTCTCTCACCATCTCTCTCTGGTGAAAATCCGCTTTATGACTGGCATATATTTAATTTTCGAACACTTTTGCCTTTATTTATTTATCCAGATCAAATCGAGAATCGCTCCTTCGAATTCTTTGACCTGCCGCAACGGAAATTCGCCCATTGCTCAGGGTCTTGAAACCCCCTGGATTTTGCAGAGCGTTACATCTCAGCTAGAGCAACAAACAAATAATTTCATTGCCTGCCATAAGCTTCCGCCAACTTCGGGCGGATATTCTATTGAAAATTTATTTCAATTACATTTGAGCGCGCCGCAAAAATCTGAACGAATAAAATTCAATTTACAAAATGTTTTGCGTAGTTTTCTGCGTGCCGAGCCAAGAAAAGGAAAGGGGGTCAGTGGGGAATTAGAGAGCATTGTTGTCTGTTGGCAATTCGATGAGGAAATTTTGCAGATTTTCTCAAGCACTTGTAAGCATCAGGCAAAGGATTTCAAAGCCTCAATTTTGGACAAGTCCAAATGCAAATGAAAACAAGGCAATTAGCTGAAAATTGGTTGGGGTAAAGAGGAACAGGGATCAGTCTGATTAAATTGAAGTTAACGCTTCAGGTTATTAGCATTTCCCTTCAATTAATAGATATAGAAGCTGCGAACGCAATTTGCAAATTATTTCAGCTGAACAAATGTTTGCCTAACCCATTTTGACAAG